AACAGAAACCAAGAACGAAATGAAAAAATAGGTCCGCAACGTGTACACGTGTGCGCTTAAAATTGCTGTATGCCGCACACGCAAGAAATAAATTCCACATGCAGTAATTTCGCAAAAGCAGTTATTTCAGAGAAAATTTGAAATCTTCATTTGTATTTTCTTTGATGGTAGTGGATATCAAACATCCGTGTAAGATGTTGATCTCTTGCATTTATCTTGATGCCGCGCTTTAGTCCTTCCTCGGAAGCTCTTTCATCCGAAGAACAAAGAGTTTTGGCTTTGTTTCTTGCAAATGGAGTAGCCTGTTTTGGAGCGAAGCAAAATATGATATTCACGATACATATTTTCTGTTTTTTACTACATCGCTCAAGTTAGGAGTGTGGGGAAAATTGCTGCGAAAACTGCGGCGAGATTCGTCTGATTTTAAATCTTCATCAGCTATTGTTTTGGATTATCGACGATTAACTGCATTTCAACTCACCAAGTTGCCCCTTTTTCCAGAGCAAATGTGAAATTCTATAAATAGGCACTCGTTCTCCATACAGCTTTCACAATAATCAAACACGTTAAAGTACTTTACAACGAACATTCATAACACTCTGATGAAGGTTTATAAAGGTTAAAAAAATAATCCAACGAAAAACTCCATCTTTACATCACAGGACAGCAATAGATGACTGTTGATCGGTTCTGTTCAAGTGTAATTTGTCATCTTGATTTTCTACATGTCGCCTTTCAACAATTGTGGAAATTTCCTGTGTCTGCACACTAAAATTCTTTAATAGAGAATCCAGGCATCCATCCTGGTACCTCCCATATGCTAAGCGGGCGCTCCACGATTTGAGCTAATTCCCCAACCCGTTTATCACATGGTTTACCGCTGTTTCTGTAGATATTTTATTAACATTTCAAGTTTTTAACTGACTGCGGACAACAGTTTACAGGAAACCGACCCATACGGACAAGTGACTCAGCTAGACATCCTTCAGCCCTACATCATTCATGGCCGGCCACGGGCCATCAGAACTCTGACGAAACGTGAAAAGCTATTTTATTGCACGAAGGACAGTTTATCCAACGAAAACAAACGTTGACCCTCTCTCTTTTTTTTTTTTTTTTAAGAAAAACTACAAAAACGACTACACTCGACAAAACAGACAAAGACCCACTAGGTCCGTTGTCGGTGCGTTTGTTTAATCGTACTAACCATCTCTTTATCTGCACCAAGCTTTGCCGACTGAATAATTATTTTTCATCATATTACGTCTCTCATATTTGCTCAGTAAAACTGATCTGTAGAGATAATAGTGAATTATTGATTCTAAACGAAGCTATATATCGGCTTGGGGAATTAGCTCAAATGGTAGAGCGCCCGCTTTGCATGCGGTAGGTACCGGGATCGATACCCGGATTCTCCAATTGGTGCGCTTAATCTTTTGTTTGTTCTTTGGAAAAATCTTGCCTTGTAAAGTGTTGACTAAGCATCTCTTTTGTAAACTTCAACATCTGGTCATTTAAACAAAGTTTAGCCACTGTTTAACAAAACCGCGTTCTAAGCCACCTTCACCTCAGCCAAACCTTATATCTGAACATTTGTTTTTGTTTCAAAAGGGCCGAAAGCTGATAGTGGAGGGACATTTATTCAATTAAATCAATCC